ATAGTGCTTGTATCAGTGTTAGTGTGAAGCCAGTTTGGCCTTTGTGCCTTTTGAACAAGCACAAAATTCAAAGTTTAATAACTAAGCATTTCACAGTGTTCCATTTTAAAAGTTGGGGTAAAGAGATTTTGGTAAGAAGAAAAGCTTCTCTGTCAAAATCTTCAAGCTGCATCTGCAAATTATCTGTGAATTTCTTGGTAAAATCCTGTTGTGTAGCTACTGATGTTAAGGACTGTGAAACCCTGTGGTTCTGTGGTGGTTCAAGCTTGTTTCACTGGCATTGGTCTTTTTTTTCATTTCATTAACTCCACCTTATCTAAGGCATCAAAACAGGAATCACGTTAGTGGGAAAAGGACCTGTGAGAGAGGAGAATATGAGTTCATAATGGATATTTTAGTGTTATCTTATTAGCTCTTACATTTGACAATATGTAGTTCAATATGTCTCTTTGAGTTACAGGAATTTCACTATTGACAAACTAGAAAAGCACAATAGAATCCCCTAATACCTTAACTATTCTCAATTTCTATTATTTATCAATTTTACATATCTCATCCTTCCAGAGTCTTTGCCAGTGGGTTTTGACTGTGAAACGTGGCTACAGGAACAACGTGCCCTACCACAACTGGCACCATGCAGTGAGCACTGCTCAAAGCATGTTTGCAATGCTCATGGCAACAGACCAACTCCAGGTTAGTGTTACTTTGTGGTAAAAGCAGAGTGGGTCTGTAGTTGCTATTATTATAATTTTGTTTACAATCCATTCTATGTGTCCATGTGACAGTCACACTGTGACATTTGCATAATGCCGCCGGAGTTTCGTCTGTCCTCAGAAGTTTTGGGAGGAGTCAGTTGAGGACTGCCAGGGTTGTCCTTCCATACTCAGCACTCTTAACTGTTTGGAAGAGGATTAATTTTAGTTCTTGCCAAAACCTCTTAACTGCTGTCTGTAACAATCAGACACATGCCTACGCCTCAACTCAAGTGACTTCTGCCATTCACTCACCAGTGTTTTAAGCTTTTTGGATTCCACGAATATGGCCACCCTCGGGGTCTCTGTACCAGGACCAGGCTGTATCTGTTATGCATATTTGTATCTGTTATAGTTTGGAGCTTAATTATGTGTGATATTCAATGAAGACACTGACTGGTATTAGTAACACTAAAATGGAAGTATCATTTGTTGTACTTCATTTCTTTTACATCAAACATTGAATAGTAGAATTACAGTTACACATTTTTTATTCAGTATTTGTTTAGATAGAAAATGACATTACTATCTAACATTTTACTGTCTTATCACTTAATTCTTTTAGATTAGAGTTTATTTAAATACAATTAAAATACAAAAAAAACATGATTTAGAGATTTAATTGGGGTTGGTCTTTTATCATCTTATCTGTTAGAAACTTTTATTATCGACTTTTGACAGCACATGAGCCACCTATTTATACAAACTTTCTTTTATTTTGTGTAGCACATGAAATGTGCAATATATACATGTGCAGATTATTATTTTCTCAATAATTATTTTTTTCCTATAAAGCGTTCAATTATAAAATGCAGAAAAATAATTTTCTTCATTATTACAACCTGTTTCTTTCTGTTCATATGTTAGACCATTTTTTCTCGTCTGGAGATCTTAGCGTTGATGATAGCCACTCTGAATCATGATGTCGATCACAGAGGAGTTAATAATTCCTTCATAGAAAGGTAAATGTTACTTCTTCATCTCTCACATTTACTCCATTACTTATTTTTACTCTAAATTATCTAGACCATAATTATGTGTATTTATTTTGATTTGTACTATCTATAACGCTTATTAGTCACTGCCTACTTATATTCAGTCCTTATTCTTTCTTTCTTTTTTCTCTCAGGACTCATCAGCCTTTAGCTCAGTTATATGGACACTCCTCTCTTGAGAACCACCACTACAACCTGTGTGTCTTCATCCTAAACAACACTGTAAGATGCAAGAAATCTTTTTTTTTTAACTTATAAGTTATGTTTGCATGCACACAACAGGACGTTCAAATGAAGCTCATATACTATATCAATTATTCTGCAATCATTCCACTTGTGAAATAATTAGATTATTTTGATCTCTGTGTGTGAACTTGTAGTCTTCAATTTACTTTACTTTCTTTTTCTCTCTCATCATCTTCCAGGGGAGTCAGATTCTTAGCGGTCTGTCTGCTGAAGATCACAAAGCTCTATTACACTTAATCAAAAGGGCAATCCTTGCCACAGACCTGACCGTCTACATGGAGTATGTCTGAAACATTAAAAATGTCATAGAAGACGTAGATTACACATTAAGTCAGTCTTATTTTAACCTATGTTTCTTCTGGCTGTTTTTAATTTTTTTTTTTCAGAAGAAGAAAGGAGTTCTTTTCTCTTGCTAACAAAAGCGGAGTGAGCTGGAAAAGTGAGAAACAAAGAGACTTGCTCAGGTGAGAATCCCATAAATTAGAATCAGAGGCATATTATATTGTTGTGCTCGGTAAACCAAGAGAATGCGCTGTGTTGTAAGCTATTACTTTACCCCACAGGTCAATGCTGATGACAGCCAGTGACCTCTCTGCTATCACAAAGCCTTGGCCTGAACAAAAAAGAGTAGGTCTCACAAAGTAGCTCTGAATGAAAAATAAAACACTTCATGCTTCATCTCTCAATCCTTTTTCACTGCAACCTTAACCTCACTCTTCCGCCTAACAGATTGCCAGTCTGGTTGCCATGGAGTTCTTTGCACAGGGGGACAAAGAGAGGGAAGAGTTCAAAATCAAACCCATTGTAAGTGGAGCTTGCAGGATTTGTAGTGTGCCAAGGATTCTGAAAATGTTGAGTGGAACTCACATCCGGATAAAAAAGTGTGCGCACATAAAAAGGAATTTAAATCAATATTATTTTTTCATGATTTGAATCTAACAAGAATCCAATCATTTGTGAATATCTTGTTTTAGTCTCATGATAAATGTTTTTAAGTTTAAAAGCCCTTCAGGCATGTTGTTGTCCTATTTCTTGTTGCGCTACAATTGCATCTACCTCGTCGTATAACAGTATCACGGTGCCAAAGACTGTTCTTTGAAAAAATACATAACCACAAACACTGGTATGTCTTGGAATATCTTCATATTTTTGTCACTGTGGTTTAAAAAAAAATCTTATTTTATTTACACAGATTCAAAAGGGGGTTTTCATAAAATGTTACTGTTACTCTGTCTACACTATAACAAAAATAACAATATCTTTGAATTCATTAAGCTTTATAAAGCGTGTTGTGTATTTCTGATACATTTTTCCCCATTCAGAGTGAAGTAAATTTAATGTAGCTTGCAGTGTTTGGGGTTGAACTAATCTTCATATATAAATGTTCATATTCAAGTACTGCATACTTTTACAATTCTATCTGATCTTCTGTAAGTGCTTTAAGTGCTATTTTAACAGCCACTTTATGCTTACTTTTCACTAGGACATAATGAACAGAGAAAACAGCACTCGACTGCCGTATATGCAAGTTGAATACATTGATGAGGTCTGCTATCCACTCTACAAGGTGTGTTATTACTATTGGTATTGTGTAAGCAATGTGTAGATAACTGTATATTCTACTTGCATGCATGTATCCTTATATTTCATTACAGAATTCACCTTGTTGCCATCTTGTTCCCTTAAGATCAGTTGTAATTTCCACTGTTCTATCAACAATCCCATCTCTGTCTTTGCCTTCCTCAGACTGTATCGAGACTGTTTGACTCCTGCTCTCCTTTGCTAAATGGGTGTAAGAAGAACAGAGAAAACTGGCTGCAACTTGCTGATGAACAAGAAAAAGAAAACAATGAAAACATTAGTACAGATCCATCACTGCATGAAGACTTTAAGGGAGAGACACAGACAGACCAATGAACAGCAGACTGGAGAGAAGATAACACGTGGCTTCAGAGGCTAAAAGGAGGCTTGCTCATATGTTCTATCTTCATTCTTCTAAGTGAAGACTGATCTATTGCTCACACATCAGAACTTTGATGAGCAAACTGGTTAATATGTTATGCAGTGGCCCTCACGGTTATGATTATTCCTGCACTTGTAATGCAAATAACTTATTGTGCCACGTATATAATAGCAAATGAAATGCATTTATTGTATGTAAAGATGTACTAAATAGCTTCTCAAAGTACTTTACATTAAAAGCTACATTCACATTTATGTTCTCTCTATATGGAGTGTTAAGTTAGGGGATGGACTGCTCTGCCTTCGCATTGATCCTACATTAATCTGTTTATTTAGCAGTGAAGGTGTGAAAGTCTGAGAAATAACTTTGATTATTTGCACACCATATCTGTATTTGTATTTTTATCTGTGCTACACAGAGTTTCGTAAGACCTGTATCCGGATTTTCAAATGCATAAGTATTTTTAAATGTACTGCTTCCTTTCCACATACCATCAAATTAGTACAGTGATCTATAGCATAATCAACTTTGTGAACTTGTATTCAACTATTTATTTTATTAGATTACTGACATCTACATTTTTTTTTTTGATCTGATTTGACTTTCTTTCCATAATGGCTCTTTGGAGCACTTTGACCCTGTGCTAATTCTATTAATTGTTCCCCTTTATTGGCTCTGACTTACAAGGTTATCTTGAAATTTAGCAGAACTGATAACAACTAATGTTATTTCCACCATCTGAAACTGAGTAATAAAGATATTGTTCACCACACATATACAGCATGCATTTTAAATAATTATCCAGCCTAAAATGTTCAAAGTATTGTTACAAACCTTCTATATAATTTCCATAACCTTGTTAATAGTAAGTAGTTATTTAGCTGAACTGTAGAGGCAAAAGGGGCAGATGAGTGTATAGTAAGCCAATTTATTATTATTATTATTATTATTATTATTATTATTATTATTATTAGCGTTACCTGGATTATTTAGGGGAATGGACGTTTGCATTCCAGGCCTGTGGGTGGCACTGGTGCTCTTAAACAGGGCGCTGTTGCTGCCGACGGCTCGACGCTGACTGGCAGAAGAAGACTTCAACGGAGAAAAAGAGGAATAAAATGACAGGGCGCGCAAAAAGAAAACACAAAGCCGTTCAGGTAAATACGCTTTGTTTTGACCTGCTGTGTTTGGTGCAGGAATGTGCGTTTAAAACAGCAGCCTTACCAAACGAGACGCCGTGCTCTGTGTGCAGCAGAGCAGCTGCCGTTAAAGTCGGTGTGAAGAAGTGTTTAGCAGCCTGACCGAGCAGCAGTGGATAACACGACAACATGGCAGCAGCTCTGCAGGCTGGTCCCACAAAGCAGCTTGTTCAGCGATGCTAACAGCACATACCTGAATGGGGTCTTTGGCTTTGATTAAATGGAAAGCAATGTATCATAACTGGACCTTTATGCTAGCTAGGAAATATCCGTGCGTCGTTCCCATTCACTGATTGTGTAGTGTGGCATCAGCAAGCGCACTGTGGGCGTCTTCATTGATTGATTCATTGATTGGTGCCTTTATCCATTAAACACCAATAAATGGCCTCATAAAATCGTTTTGCTAAGGTTGCGAGCAACTATTGAAAAAGATTTCGGTCCCTACTCCTACTGTACACGCCACTGCAGGGTACAGAGTCCAAGGCAGTGGACACAGCTGTACTTATTGTACACTAGTTGCTGATGCGAGGTCGATGCATTAATTCTCACGCAGTAAATATTGACCTACTTCTGTGGAGACCATGATGCTCAATGATTATTATAGAAGTGTTTTGAATAACCTTTATTGATATTTTTTTTTTTTTTTTGGAGGGTGGGCTTCTTTTTATAATAATATAGTGGTGGGTTCAATGTATCCACAATATGTTTTACTGTCAACCTGCTGTATCAAAATGAGATACTTGGAGCTTGATATAATACATAAATAGGCAACTTACTATGCAGTATTGCTGAGGAGTTCCCCCTGCTTTTCATGTCTTTAGGAAAAAGGCACAAATAATGGAGAGGTGAAGAAAGCTCGAAGTGAAGAATCCAATGATGTGCCGCCATCAGGAGTGAAATCGGAGCAACGTGATGAGCTGATGCAGTTGTACAGTTTTCAAATGCCAGAAGATCTGTACCACTTCTGGGAATTCTGCAGCGAGCTTTGCGCTGACAACCCCTGTGGTATGATGATGTGGTACTAGACTTCATAGGGTGGAACCGCTGAATTTAATGCTGCTTAGTATTTCAGTCTAATAGAACATTAAAGACGAGGTAATTCAAAGCAAAAAAAATTCCACCTTACAGTCGGTGGTTAAGGACTTCAAAATGAACAGATCTCCTATTAAATATACTTAAATGTGAAATTCAGAAACTGCTTTTTAGCTATTAGATGCTCAATTGTTGTAATGAACTTAGGAGCTGTAATACAGGTGTGAAACAGATGACACAGTAGAAGACAGAAGCATCACATCTGTAATACTGTAGTACTGTACGGTGCTTTAAAGGCCAGTGTAACAGCTAGCTAAAAGATTTAGTTCACAAACACAAAATTAGCAGCATTTGGTTAACACTTGGGTGTTAACTGTAAACCCACATTTGGCATGTGGGGCTCAAAACCTGACTTCATGCTAGTTTAATTTGTAATGAGACAATATGTTCCAGTTCTGTTTCTATTTCTGCAGATGTTCTTGAAGGTGCTGCGGTGAGTGGTAGTGTACACGCTGCAGTAGAGTACAGCAGCTGACAGTCAATGATCATTTCATCTGTAAAATGTCAAATATACTGAACACCTGAACAATTTTATCTTTGATTTTTTTTTTATGTTATTTTTGAATTCAGCCCTAAAACAGTGGATGATTTGTTTCCACTGAGTGTTGTTTTGTTCTCAGATTTAAGTTTATTTCATTCATCAAGATTTTTTCGTTTTTGTTTTTTTGAGCAGTGCAGATGATTCATTTTATCATTAAGTGAAAAATCTCCATCTCAGATACTTATGTGGTGTATAAGATATGTGCTACAAAACAGTGTGTCTATAGTAAAATATTTCATCAATAATTTGCACTTAAGTAATGCTTCTGTGTAGGCTCGTTTCTGTATCAATATATTGTCACTCTCTGTAGGTGCTCTGAAAGACTCGCTGGGATTGCAGCTAGTTGGACCATTTGATATTTTGGCAGGAGCTCACAAAAACTCCAAGAATTCCCAGCCGAACTTCCACCTTCACTGGCGATATTTTTATGACCCACCAGAGTTTCAGACCATACTCGCAGGGAGTGAGGACAGCCAGCATCACATTGGTTACTACAGGTATAGAACATAACATCTGAAGTGTGTGACTATCGGCTTTTATTAGAATCTTGTAGCTTCCACTAAAGGCTGCTTCCAACATTTGCTCTACCGAGAAGACACAGAGCATCGTGTGAAATAATATGAAAATAGTGATAACAATATGTACATGAGCACAAGTGGTTCTGATTTTGTTATTGTTTTGTTTTACTGAATTTCATTGTTCCGCCAGAGATACTCCAGACTCCCTCCCTTCGTTTGTTGGGGAAAATGAAGCCAAGAAGGGCTGTACTATAACACAGATGGGGGACAACGTGTTTGCTGCAGTCCAGTGAGTGTTAACCACCACAAACTCACCATATATCACTTTATATAATCCAACTTCTAGCTTAAGAAACAAATTCTTGGCACAAGAACAAAGTCCTTGTGCATTAGTGACCACTGATGGTGCTGATTTTATTTCCCACATCACATTTCACAATAAACTGTTTTGTTTTTTAAATGTAGTGTTTAGGTATGTACTGTTTAACAGGTTCTAAAAGTGATCTAAAGGGGGACAAATGCTGAAAAAGCAACAAGGTCACAGCCTCCAAAGCACGAGAAATAAAAACTGTTTTTTATGTTCAGGAAAATCAGGAAGAGCTTAGTATCAGCTATACTGGAAGGTAGATCTGGGCGATATGGATTAAAAAAAAAAAATCACACATTTTTTTTCTTCCTTTACTGAACAGTTTCAGTTTCTGGTGAACTGGTGGCATGGATACAGATTTAACGCTAAACAAGAAGACTCTTTTTAGGAAAACCTGTTGCATGGACTTTCCACTATTCCATCATGCTCGTTTGAATGGTATTATTGTGAAATACTTGATGAAGGTGGTATGTCATGTTACCAGACTTTGTCGGGACCTGTTTGTGCTATACCTTGCACACTGGCTTTATCTGTGCTTGATCTGATAGAGAAAACCATTCCCAGACTACTGACAGAGTTTCTTATTTACTGCTCACAAGGAGCAGTAAGTTAGTTGCCTGACATGTTTTTCACAAGTCCTTGCAAGTAATGTTTACATTATTTTTTTCGTCTTCTGAGGGAATGGGCAACATGTTGACTATGATTGACTGCTGTGGCGTTAAGCCAACCCTACAATACTGTCTGATAGGCTATATGTATTGTCTGTCTGATCCTACATTTATTATCATGGTCTAATTTTTTTTTCTTCTTGAAATAATATTGTAATCGTTTTATCATCCAGCACTATTAGAAAGTTGCAAGAATCATCAGTGCGTTGCATCCTGTTGTGTTTGGGGCTTTGTAGCTGTAGATCAGTCAGGGAACCTTTGCTGAACTCTTACATTACTAAAAGTGTATTTATGTGGATGTTGTTATTTTGATGCATATCACCCACCTAAACCTTCAGACCACAAATAAACTTTCATGGGAACAATAGTAGAATAATGCACCACATTTAACTGCAAAAACTGTTCAGGAATGTTTTGAGGAGTATGAAAAAAGCTTCAAGGTTTTAAGTTGACTTACTGAGTTTCTGTGACTGTCTGATTGAGCATCTGAATGTGTTGGAAAAAAAACTCAAGTGCATGGAGACTTAAAGGAAGTCGTGCTAATCTGTTGATGCTTGATACCACAAAACGCCTTCTGAGGTCTTGTGTTGAGTCCACCCCACAACAGCTCTGACCCACTGAGGTGTGGTCTCAGCACAAGGGGAAATTGTAGAGTATTAGGGTGGTGGCTTTAATGTTGTGGTTTATTTGCGTTTGTTGGCCACTTAAAACTCCATCAATAACTTGATGCTTACGGAAATAAACAGTCAAATTGGGTGATCCTTAACTTTTCATAATATGCCCTTTTGTCTCTTTCCTCCTTTTACTTCATGTGTGAGAGTGGAGGTACATTACTGCATGAAATTTTCTGTCATCACTTCTTTTTGTCTTGTAATTTGCTGTTCTTACTTCCATCAGCCTGTATCTGCTGAGGAAGAGGAAAGAGAGGGGCAGTAAGAAAACTGGGGATGAGGCGTTGGAAACCTTGGAGGCAAAGCTGAGAGACAAAGCACAGACTCTGGGCTTTTCTCTGGAGCAGAAGACCAAAGACATGAAGCAGAGAGACAAGAAGGTAAAATGCACACGCCAACAAAAAAAATTACCAAGACCTCGCTTGTAATACCCATTAAATCAGGGATGTCAAACTCATTTTGCATTTAGGGTCGCATATAGCCCACTTTGATCTTAAGTGGACCGGATGAGTGAAACTCCACTTTCTTGGAGTAAAGACATTGATGTACACATTTAAAGACATTGATGTACACATTTAATCCCCGAGACATCTTAATAAAATATCAAGTCCAATTTCATTTACAGAAAAAGTTCTGGTAGCTCTGACTGTTCCACATATACAAGACAGTGATGCTGCTTGAAAAGCATTAAATATATAGATATGAAAAAAAAATGTTTTCTTAAAGTTGATGCTTGAAAATTTTTTACACACTATAGGTCGTAACAAAGACATTCCACGGCGCGGGCATTGTTGTACCTGTAGACAAGAATGATGTTGGATACAGGGAACTTCCAGAAACAGATGGTGAGTTTACAAATTTAAAGTTGTTTTAACACCAGTTTTTTCCATTTATCTTTTGTTTATTCATTGGTGAGGTAAACAAATTTTGATAAAGGAATTTAGCTTCTGTGAAATAAGCTGGTTACATAGATTGCAAAAATGTCTTTATGCATTCTCAATCATCCAGGTAAGTAAATCTCCAAAAGTTGATTCTGTTCATCTGGATGTAGCGTTTTCAGTGGGAGAAACGTTTCGTCACTCATCCAAGTGACTTCTTTAGTCTCAGCTGACTGCAAGTTTCCCCAATCTTATAACCAGTATTTTTGCATAATGACTGAAACCAGCCCACTGAAGGAAAAATGGGCTGGGAGGTCCTCACCATTGATCAACAACCACTGATCAAAGATCACTGATCAATGGCCATGAGTACCATTCACAGAGAGTTGGGGAATGGCTGCAATCACAGCATTGTAAGATGGCGAAAGATGTATCCTTAAGCCCCCTCCTCTATTCAGAGATGGTCTTTCCCTTTTCACGTAAATGGCCTCCTTGACTCCACGCTCAAACCAGCGTTCTTCCCTGTCCAGGATGTGTACATCCTCATCATTGAAAGAGTCTCCACCCTGTAGGTGTGAATACTGCAGAGTCCTGGCCTGATGAGGTAGCTCTTCTGTGTTGTGCCATCCGCTTCGCCAGAGATTGCCAGGATTTATACATCGGGGAAACCAAACAATCCTCCTGGCACTTAACAGCGTACACTATGTTACTCTGTTTGTGTCGGGGGACCCGATCCTTGCGGTGGACTGATTTTTGGCGCTGCGTGTTTTGGGGTTTAAAAGCCACAGAGACACGATGTTTAGAAAAAATGCGTCTCAACTGCTCCGATACTCCTGACACATATGGGATCACTACAGGTTTTTGCTTAGTCAGCGGTTGTCCTTCTCTCCTGGATCGGCTGGAGCTTTCTTTAGGCGCCTTTCCAGCTTTGACAAAAGTCCAGCTGGGATAACCACATTTACTCAGGACCTTCTTGATGTGCTGTTCTTCTGCTTCCCTGGCCGCTGTGCCTGTGGGGATGGTGTTGGCTCTATGTTGTGGTGTCCTGATGACAACCAGTTTATGCTCCAGTGGATGATGAGAGTCAAACCTTAAATACTGATCTGTATGCGTAGGTTTACGGTACACATCAGCTTTTAGATGTTCCCCATTACTGATGGAAATCTCACAGTCTAAGAAGGCTAACCTGCCACTTTTCATATCCTCCCTGGTGAATTTGATTTGTCGGTCCACCAAGTTAATGTGATCCGTGAGTTGTGGTACGTCCTGAGATTTGATTTTCATCCAGGTGTCATCCACATACCTGAACCAATGACTTGGTGGTTTTCCAGGGTAGGATAACAAAGCCCTCTTTTCCACTTCTTCCGTGTACAAATTGGCCACGATGAGTGAAACTGGGGAGCCCATGGCACACCCATGTTCCTGCCTGTAGAGCTGACCCTTGTATGTGAAATAGGTGGAATGAAAACACAGTTCCAACAGCAAACACACTTGGTAAGTGCTGAGAGTGGTCCTGTTGCTGAGGTTGGGGTCATCCTGTAATCTCTTACGAACTACCTCCAACACTTCCGTGACTGGGATGCAAGTGAAGAGACAATGCTATTGACCGGCACTCATACAATTATAAGATTGGGGAAACCTCCAGTCAGCTGAGACTGAAGAAGTCACTTGGATGAGTGACAAAACGTTTCTCCCACTGAAAACGCTACCTCCAGATGAACAGAATCAACTTTTGGAGATTGCAGAGATTTATTTATTTTCTTTTTATCTCCACTCCATAACAAATTTGTTTCTTCCCTTGTGTCCAAGCTGGTCTCAAGAAAATTTGTAAAGCCATTGTCGAAGCACGGACTGATGAAGAACGCGTCAAAGCTTTTGGACCAATCCAGGAAATGATAACATTTGTTCAGTTTGCTAATGATGAGTGCGATTATGGCATGGGTTATGAACTGGGAATAGACCTCTTCTGTTATGGATCTCATGTGAGTATACTAAGTCACTGCTTCTTCAGCAATCATCTTTCTTGGATTTGATGTGATTTCTGAGATGACTTATGAAATAAAAAGAACTTTTCTTTTCGACTTATTTCTTATTTAAAATTGGATAGTTTTAATTCTTTGACATATTTAAAACAAAACAAATCAAAAACAGGGGACATCAAACTTTTAGTGGCTATACTAGAACTATTAGTAGTTTAATGTTGCACATACATTTAAGTTAAATAGAATAAATGTAAGTTGGGAACTAATGCTTTGGCCCATACAAAGAACTGAATTTTCAAAACTTTTTAAGGACTGGATTTTGGGGATATAAATCATTTCTCTTTGATTTTCTCTATCTCTCTCCTACAGTACTTCCACAAGGTTATCAAGCAACTTTTGCCCATGGCTTACAACTTACTGAAAAGGAACTTGTTCGGGGAAATTTTGGAGACCCATCTGTCAAGTCGTATCCATGACAACATAGACCAACTCTCTCCACATTAAAACAAAACAAAAAATATTCAGAAGTACATTTCTATTCTGGCTCTTTATAAGCTTTCCCACCATGTGTTCTTGTCTTCTGTTGTTTGTCATTGCTGATATTTTTGGTGGATTTGTGCTGCTGTCACTAACTGGAAACAGTTCAGTGATGTCTTGTTTGTAAAAGGTAGCTGTTCAATAAAGCTTTTTTTTAAATATATATTTCTACTTTTTTAATTTGTATTTTTTAACCTGTTTGATTTTTGTGTGCAGCCTACTCTGAGCCAAAGTCCACCTCACTTTACAGTTGAATTGTGCAGTCATCATAATTTTTGCCTTGGGTTTAGATCATCAAGGTGGACTGCGTGTTGATCAGACTGCAGGCAATCTGATGAAACAATGCGTTTCGGGTGGTGTAATACCATAGAGTGGAAATAGAGGGCAGTGTTGTGTATGGGAGTTCATAAATGAGCCGCACGGTAAGATTCTGGGAACGACTTCCCATCATTCATATCATGAGTCATCATTTTCCATACTGTACGTAGGATGTATTTGGTAACTGACATTTCTGTTGATGAATGTTTTGGTGTATAGAAAGGGATTGATCCTTTCCTGTCTTTTTATTAGTCTTTCAGGATATGAAGAGAAAAACTAACAATAAGAAAGTTTCCAGTTTTAGCATACTAGAAACGTCAGAAAACCCCCTAAAACCAGGCCTGAGCCACCTTATTCATTTCCCATTTCTGATTAGATGCAGTTCATAAAATGGCTGGTATTTGGATATATTTTATTTAAGCCTCTATTATATCAAGAGCCTTTCTACAAACAAAGGTTTTACAGCAGAGTAATATGCAACAAGAAGCCCAGTGGTTGCATTGGAATGGAATGGAATTGGCATCCACAGTAACACAGCCTTTATTAAAAATTTGGATGACTGCACAGACTGCTCTGTTGCTGTTTTGTTTCAAGACATTTTCAAAACATTTATTTCACTAGTCAATAATTGGGCAAGCTTACACTGAGTATGTTACATCTTCAAAATCTAAAGTGCATTACAAAGGTTATGGTGGCTGTGTCATTGTTGTCTTCCTGCTTTGATATTTTTTCTTGTCATGAAGCTTCATTGGTACACTAGACTTATAAAAACTGTCTTTTTGGAATGAGCATTCATTAATTTGGATTTAAGGACCTACAGTCAGACTGTAAACAGACATATTTACAGTTTGTAAATATTTTGACACCAGCATGATTTTGCAATTTGCCATCCTGACACTAAAACAATCCTGATAGTTATAATAATTTTAGTTTGCTTTTTGTTCTCTAAACAGTGTGTGTTTCCAGGGGGAGCTTAGTTCATTTTTTTTTTTTTGTTTAACCCCCTCAAAAATCTGTGCTTCAACCACATATTGACTGTTTGATTTAAAGTGCACAATGCTGGTTCACAGAGGCTGCAAACAAACAAACAAACTCATGTTCCATATAATGGTCCAAATGGGTTTAAATGTGAAAGGTCTGAAAGGAATGTGATGTGACTGACCTTGTGTTCCTTGTTGCCTGTATGTTTCCTCCTCCAGAAGCCTGACTGACTAGCTGGCTGGCCGCCTGGCCATTTGGTTTTGCTTTTGTTTTCACCTGCACACACTTATATGCTGTCTTTGCACTCACACACACACTGTATACACACTGATGTGCTGATAACTACCCATACAAATCTCTGGTTTCACTACTTTATTTCATTAAACCACTCCACTGCCTCCTAAGATTAGGTGTGGTCTCCCTGTTTTTGTTATTCTTTTAAAGCGGGTTGCATCGAATGGGAGCTTGTCTGCACAAAAATTGGGGTC